ACTAAATGTGAAAGCTAAATATGTACCTTACATCTATTAAATAAGCATTACATTACGAATTTTTGCTATCCTAAACGATGTTCAGCCAATACGTCTATGTGTAAAAACACCAAAGTTACATAGTTTCTGTATGAAACCTACAAAGCCCATTCAAAATTTGTCATCATACAACAACAAAAAATGAGTTGCTGTCTAAGCTACACTGTATGCGTTTGTGTTTGTAATTTTTTTTCCTGCAGTCTTCAATTAATTATTGTGAGGAAGCGAGATCTCATTTTGATTCTACCGGCACTACAGAAATTAACACCATACATGCACATAGCAAATATTGATTTGTTATTGTGTATACGATAGATGGTTTACATCGATGAAAGCAAACTGTCACTCTACAGCCGCATGATGGCGGCAGATGCAAACCAGACTCAAACAACAACCATTATCGAGCTTAAGATATTGTGACGTGGCTAGTATTATAAATACACATCACGATTCAATACAGCATACATATTATAGAGGCCTTTCAGTCTGTACGTTTTGTTTAACGAAAGGAGATGCAAAGAGGGGGGGGGGGCAATATTAAGATCGTTCAGAAAAAGTCTAATTTATATTACGACAATTTTTCATTTGTAGCCTTTATTAAATTTCTAAAAATCTCACCTCATAGGTTATTTTTATAATTTGATTACGCTTCCGTATGTCAGGATAATTGTAGTAATACTAATGATTTTGTTTACAAAGGGAAGCATCATCAGCGTCAATGTTGCTCTTCAAAGGCGCCCATCAATTATCATTATTACCACATAAGCTGCTAAATACGCATTTACATCTGGGTGGAGAGGGGCACAAATTGTGAATTAACGTCTTGCCAAAGGACGTCAGTCTGTGCTGGGATTCGAACCCTCAACTCTTGGATTGCGAGTCGAGTGAATGAACCACTAAACCACAAGCAAACAGTGTACAAGCACGTTGTAGATTTACGATTCACACTCTCTCTATAGTGCTTATGTATTTCAGGGTATGAACAATGATAAATCATTCGTCAACATATTCGATCTCTTCGCGACTGTAAAACCTACGCCAGAAAAATAGATTTCCTGATTGTAATCTTCTTATGTTTTGACAGACGATTTCGGATACAGGTCCAATTAAATTATTATAGGAAAAAAAATTTATAAAAAAGGAAATCAAATAGTCCAAAATCATAGAAAGCAGAAAGATACAGTTAGCACCTTTATGACATGTTGTATCCTGTCATCTCCCTTATCTGTCAGCTTCTATGACCAATCTAAATAATTTGCTCGTAACTAGAGATTTGCTACTTTCATAGTAACTCGAAAGTCAAGTGCTGGAGGGAGCAAAATTAATTTCTCGTAAAGTTGACGGTTCGAAAAAGCGGGACATAGTTCAAAAAATGATTTCGCCTTTTTGCTATTCAAAATGGAGTAAAAAAGACTCCTCTTATTCGAAGTACTGCTTCAAGTGTTTTTAAAAAAGGGCACTCCTGCCCAGCTTGAGGCTAGAGCACTTAGTGATTATTTGGTCGGTGTCTGGTATTTGGGTGGGAGCGACCTGGATAGTCTTAAAGAACATAATAGAACCAAACTTCAAAGGTATAGATACCACAGTGGATTCAAGACGCATGGTATTCATGTTGTTACACTGTAGGCCCTTGTTTCTTTTTCACAAATCTGCCTTTATCTTTCTTTCGCTATTATTCCCCCGTTTTCTCTATCTCTTCATTCACCCCCCCCTCTCTCTCTCTCTCTTCATTCATTCCCCCCTCCCTCCCTCCCACCCTCTCTCTCTCTCTCTCTCTCTCTCTCTCTCTCTCTCTCAATTCCAGGTTACCGGACGTGAGATAATGCAAGTGTTTTAATTCTTAATATTGTTTTAATACATCGTATTATAATTCGAAAATTGATTTTCAATAAATTTCTCTCAGATACAATTTTTGCGATTAAGAAGTCAAAGTCTAGTGTCTCATACAACAATAATATTTAAGATAAATCATGTCAATCGTACATAGGTCAATACAAATCAATTCAAAGAGTGAGAGAAAAAAGAATCCATTAACCCCCAAATAACATATAAATATGTTTATTCTAGCTATGTCCAAAGATTCACGCGACTCTAGTAGCCTTTAGGTATCAAGAAGACGTTTTACGGCGACTCCGGTGGCCTAGGTATCTCTAAGCAGAATCAATCAGTCACATAGCGTTACGGTTTGTTCTGCATAGTCTCAAACCTGAACGAGCTCAAAACACATGTATATAAACGCATTCTCGTTTACGTTGATGGATCACGCCGAAAGACGCTGTGACGTTTCTCCTCATTACGGGCTCCGTGTTTGACTAACTCTCGACATAAACACATAAGCAAACCATAGGCAGGGGCGATGAATGAGAACATGTGCTGGGGCGTAGTGAGGTATGTAATTGTGAAGTCAAGGAGGGAAAGGAGGGGGGGGGGTGTTACAAGACGTGGTACAAGAAGATTTCGACTTCGATTTTTGCAAAGGCTGCTGCTCAGTCATCCTTGGCAACAGAGTTATAAATAGGGTATCATTAAACAGAATATAATTACTCTTCAAAATATTATACTATTTGAAATATGATTCAATGTCACACAGGTTTTAGAAATTCAAATGGGAATCTTTCAAAGTTGGATATAACTTTTTTTGTATACGATCTGTAATAGGCAGAGGCGATGACTGAAAACATGTGCTGGCGCGGCTTAAGGTGATTACGAACCACATGCAGGGGAGGGGGTTCTAGCGTAGTATTTGTCGAATTCAACTTGGTACACCCGTGCGAACCTCATTCATTTAAAGGCAGGGGGTGAATATAGCCTGTGGTGGGCATGCAGCAAGCGGCAATGCACAGAATGTCATGCCACACGTCCAGAGAGAATTCATCCCCGACCCCTCCCTTATTATCTATTCCTGGATACGCCACTGATTGGTTGAGGTGGGTGTATAAGCAAACAACTTTAAGTAGTATTTAAGGAATGCTATTTTTTGTATTCACAAGACAAGTAGAAACATTCGTGGCTTAAACTGGGTCATGTAGTTAACCTCCCTGGAAGTCATAGCTCGTATTTCTTCATAGGATCTGCAGTTTTCGTTATTAAATTGTCTCTTTAAAGTCAGATGTAGCTATTACATGATAAGATGAATTATTGGAAACTCTGTCTGTAACCTGGACATCTTCAGAAGATGTTCAACTACTATAATACACTCTTTGGGGTAGACTTTTCTGACCGGGTCTCTCCCCCCTAAAATACAAATTTCGACTCCATCTATCTTTCTTGAATTTTGTTGCCTTCTATCATTGAGCTCAATTGGAGCCCATATAATAAATGAAGAGGGCGAGAAAAGTGCAAATCTACGGTAGATGTGAAATAATAGACGCACCATGATGATAAAACAGTGGTCAACCCACTGCACATAATTATCTCAGTGTTGTTTTCTTACAACTGCTTCTCCATACCCCCCCCCCCTACCCCCTCTCTCTCTCCCCTCTCTCTCTCCCCTCTCCGTCTCTCCCTCTCTCTCTTTGTCTCTCTTCACATTTCCCCACTCTCTCTACCCCCAAACTTTCTCTCTCTCTCTTTCCCTCCCCCCTCTCTCTCTCTCTCTCTCTCTCATCCCCTCTCTTTCCCTCTCCCCTCTCTCTCTCTGCCTGTCTCTCTGTCTCTCTCTCATCTCTCTCTCTGTCTGTCTGTCTCTCTCTCTGTCTCTCTCTTTCTCTCCTTCTCCCTACGTCTGCCCCTGCACTCTTCTCTCATAATCATTTCGCTCTAGGTTATTCATCAGCTTAAAAGGGGCTACCGTCTGCATGACGTCGGCTGTGTGTGCAAGAAGGCAATACGAGTTAAAGATAAAGTTGAGTTCTGGTCATGCGATTGCATTGTGAAAGAAACGTCGTGGAAGCGATGAGAAAAGATTGATCATCTGGCATATAAGTATTGGTGTGAACTGCAAGGTTCTGGAATCATCAAAATGATAAGAAAGTTGGTCTAGTCTTGGTAAAGTTACTACCACTGTACACAAAAGATGTACATTGGACTACAAGAGCATGTGGCATGAAAATCAGTCCCGATTTCTTTGTTGTTACATGCCATATTTAGAATATTAAGGCATTTGATGAGCCATGCTTTTCTGGGAACATTTTTTTATCTGATGTGCTCCCACCCTTGCATAATACAATGATAACGGCCACAACTTATTTTCACCTCTCCCCAGAACTCAACCTCCCCTTTAATTATTGCCAAGGGCAGTTACATCCTTCTTACGGGCATGGCAGCCGACAATGATGTTAACACATACAGTATTCATTGGAGGTATCTGAAGTCAAGGATTCATTACCTTCAAGGTATAGACAATAGATTTGTTGTTCACGCCCTCGCCTTTTCGTATAGCCCTTACTCCCATTTCTTGTGGTTTCTCTGTTGTTGTGGTCGAGTGGAGTCGTGGTGTCAAGGTCGAGTAGTCGAGTGGATACGTCGCCGGACTGTCGATCACAAGGTATGCGGTTCGAGTCGCGCCGCGGCACTAAATGTCCTCTTGCAAGACATTGATCTGTAATTCTCAAACTCACCCCAGGGGATGTAAATGGGTACCTGACAGGAGTTAATGCCTTGAAATGCTTGAGCGCCGTATAACGGCAGCCGTGCTAAAGCCAGGGTATTTATCTCCATCTGCGCCTCAGAATAGTTTACTAGATTGATAGCGCATAACAAATTCTGTAGTATTATTACCTCTAATAATGTTCTTCTCAGCTGAAATAGGTTGACATCTTCCTTAGATATGAAACTCTACATTATTCACTTCACGGAGACTAATCAAATAGGCAATGTTAGAGAAAGTCTTTCATGAATATATTGATTATTAACCACTTTCAATATCCTCACCTCCCATCCTCACTTTCTTCTTTTCTTCTATCTCTTCCTTCTCTTTCTTTCTCTCTCTTTCCCTCTTCCTTCCTTTCTTCCTTCTCTACCTCTCTCTCTCTCTCTCTATCTTTCTTTCTTTTTTTTTCTTCATTCTCTTCCTTTCTCTTTCTTCCTTCTCTCCCCTCTCTCTTTCTCACTTTCTTCCTTCTCTCTCCCCTCTCTCTATCTCCCTTTCCCTTTCTTCTCTTCCTCCTCTTCCTTTCTCTCCGTTCCTCTTCCCTATCGCTTTCTTCTTAATGTGATCTATATATTGTACGAATCGCTAGAATGATTCATAATTACATCATGAATTTGAAAGATTCGACGGAACCAACAAATATACCGTCGTGACAATCCCTTTATTGAATGCATAACCCACATAATATACAAGTCATGTATAATTCTACAAAGTTTTTTCTCAAATTTTACTGACCTGCAACTATTCAAAGTGGATTGGAATGATTGGAAAAAACTATCATGCGTTCTAGAAATTCCATCCATCTAACTGAAAGAATGTGTTAAATTTGTTGAATTATAAATCCCAGTCCTAACATTTCAAATACGTGCCACTATTTATAAAATGGAACTTACAGATACATACTCCCTAATAAAGAGCATGATACAGCTTTGCTATGGTTATCCACGGAGATACCAGGTTTTAGAACAAGACACTTCAAGACATTATAGACCCGTAATACCAAGGATCGAGCTCCCACTCCCGTCACATATCCCATAAGCGGGCATAAATACAACGCTGATCCAGATCACTTACGCTTAGGCCACTAGAGATCCTAGGTATTGTGAGCCAATGAAGTATCACCACTGCAGCCGTTCTACAAGCTTGAATAAGGAATAGAACTCGTAACATGCATATAGGATGGGGCAGGAGAAGGAGAAGAACACCCTCATATTTGCTGAATACATTTTAAATAAAGCAAGCCCTAGATAGTCACTTTCTTTGTTTTGACTTGAAATGAAATGCTTGGGGAGGGGGGGGGGGGGGGTGGAGGGGTGGACTATTATCCTATTCTTTAAACAGAAGAGGCAATTTATTCACATGGCTATATATATTTATTTACAAACTTTACCGTTACTTTTTTCCAGTTACTATACTAAGTTTTGATGGTTATAGTATCTTTCCATTAAAAGGGTAATCTTTCAAAACCTCTGCAAAGGATTTTTAATAGGAAACCTTTAAGAAGTTTTGAGAGGTAATTGAGATGCTTGATTTTGATGCTTAATTGAACTTAAATAAGTGCATTCGTTTTTATTGTGATTTTAACTATCTAGCCATTAAAAGCGTAATTTTTCAAAACTTCTGAAATGGACTTTTGGTAGATTCTTTGACAAGTTTTAGAAGTAATGGAGAAAATGTGACGTTTATTCGAACTTATCAATAGAAACATTATTCGAGGTCTTAGAATGTGTATACGTGCATTAAGAAAATATATTTTAATGTTCAATGTGTGTCTTTAATATTTTGGAGTAAATCAATATTTTCTGATACACATCATTCCACAATAATAATAATAATAATAATAACCTAGACTTATATAGCGCATTTCATAATCGAAGAAAATAGCAATGCGCTTTACAATATTAATACAACAACATTACACATAACTACTAATTCATGAACTAAAGAAATATCAAAATAAGGAAAAGATTAATAATAATCAAACATGATAAACATCCATTACAGAGAAATGAAGGCAATTATATCAGAGTACAGTAATGTAATTAAATTTTGATGAATACAATAATACAGTTTAAATGATATTAGAAAGCGTTTTTAAACAGGTAGGTTTTCAGTTGAGATTGAAAGAAAGTTAAGTCTGTGATGGTTCGGAAAGTAGTGGGGAGAGAGTTCATCATAGTTGGATTGAATATATATAATAACCTAGACTTATATAGCGCATTTCATAATCGAAGAAAATAGCAATGCGCTTTACAATATTATAAACATCCATTACAGGATTGTCAGAAAGGGGCGTCTGAAAATGTAAAAGAGGTGGCATCCCCGATCCCGATGAAGCGAAAATTAAAGACTGTGCACGATTTTTGTTTCAAATGGGGCAGGCGGATAGGAGAGGGGCCGGGGAGGGGGGGGGGGGGGGCTGTTGCCTACATCGATCAGTCAGAGATTCATTTACTGGATGACTGATAGTGTACTCTGGGTTCTCTCAAGCTCCGACGCGAAGCTCTCATTTACGAAATTGGTGAGCTGGATTATTTCTAAGAGGATCGCAAGGTAAACTGTTCTTATTATACGCCGATGACAGATAGGAACGCAATACTACGGAACATAACAAGGTGCCCTACTCGAAAATAGAACATACATATAGGTCATGGGTGATACTGAGTGTAGGATATGAGTAGTAACATAAGTAACAGTAGTAGTGGTAGTAGAAGTAGGTAGTCGTAGTGGCGGTGGTAGTAGTAGTAGCAGTAAAAATAGAATTAGTATTAGAAGAAGTAAAAGTAGTAGTAGTACAACAAGAAGTAGTACTAGTAATAGAAGTAGTATGAAAAGGAGGACGAATACTAGCAGAGAAGTGTGAGAAAACAGAGAAGAGGGTGGATAGAAAGAAAGAAAAGAGAGAGAGAGAGAGAGAGAGGGGGAGAGAGAGAGAGAGAAAGATAGTGAGAGAGAGAGGGAAGATAAAGCGAGAGAGAGAGAGAGAGAGAAGGGAAAAGACTGAGAGAAAGAGACACGGAGAGATTGATATGTAGAACTATAGACAAATGAATAAGCCAGAAGAAGAGGAAGAAGAAAATGAAGAAGAATTTTAAAGAAGAATAAGAATAAGAAGGAGAACAACAAGGGCAAGAAAAAGTGTATAAGTAATATTGAGATGAATGAACGCACCTTGGTCCTTCTCCTGTTTGAGAAAACATGGCAAAGCTTGAAACACAAAGGCCCTGTCTTACAAAGAATTGATATCAATTGCAACTTATTTGCGACTGATATCAATCGTAAATATATACATAAGAGATAGGAGACTGCAAACTTGCGATTGATTGAAGGACTTGCGATTGATTTGGATAAATCGTAACTCTTTGTAAGACGGGCCACTGAAAGAAACCTTTCTTAATTTCGATAAATAAAAAAGAGAGGCCTTTTCCCACTTTAAAGTAAGACAATCAGTCTGTTGAACTGGAGTATCACACTTTTATCTTGCCTTATAGCCCTTGGCCTAATTGTACAGAAAGCGCCAAAAAGTCGTATTGTGTGTCTTTCTTCGATCGTCAAACATATACGTGCATCGAATGAAGTTATCGGAAGAACGGAGGAAATGTTTTGCTCGAGAAAAGAAAAAGAGAGCTTTATGCTCCCATTCTTTAGCCCTGGGAGGGACTTATCTTACACCCCTTCTAATCCCCCGGTTACGTAGAGGTGTGTTCTGGTTCGGATCGGATGAATATCCCAGGAGGTTTTTGTAGACCTTGGTTTCTTTCCATCGACCTATTTTGATGGACCAGTAGAGGAGGCTGTAATGCTGCACTGTGAGGAGCAAAAATACCCGGAGTACAAGATGTTTGATTTAGGGTAACATTAATGAAAAAAGAGAGAGTGAGAGTGAGTGAGAAAAAGAGATAGAGAGAGAGAGAGAGAGAGAGAGAGAGAAAGAGAGGGGGGAATGTGAGGATGCGGAACAAGGGGGGGGGGGGAGAAGCGATGCGAATGAGACTGAAAATAAGAGATGCGATACATATATAAAGAGAGTGAACGGAAGGGAAAGAAGGAAAGTAGATATCAAGTTAAAGATATAAATTATGAAAAAGGTATAGGGGAATGAGAAAAGAAGAATGAGAAAGAAGCTGTCCTCTATAATGTTCTCTCCTAATAGAGAATATTGCAACCTTTTTAACGGATATCAATGTTTGCAAATTCATATTCGTTTCGAGTTTTCATATTTGAGTCGTATACTGTCCAGATTCTAGAACTTGTGTACAATAATTTCCGACAAAACACTTTTTATATTCTTCTTTTTTTGGGGAGGGGGGGGGGGAGGAGGGGACCCAGGCTTGTTATGTTTCATTTATCAAACATTATTTGATCTCAATTATGTCCGCCCAAGTACGCAGATTTTGCAATCTTCACTTTTTATTTTACAAGGGAGAAGAAGAAAAAAAACTTTACTGATATGCAAATTTAAACAAAAAGAAGTGAAAATCTTTACAAAAAATTAAATGACAAAAATAATGTATTCTAACGCCCCCCTATCCCTCAAAAGCATGCCACAATTTTGTTCCTCGGTTTGCTGTGCATCCTGCGTATATCATTGTTACGTCATCTGACGCGCAATGCATTGTTACGTCATCGATATCAGTGCAACGCGCAACAGGTTAAATAGCAACGCAAATACAGCATTAGTATCATTTCTGACGCTTTTCAAGTTCACTTGAAACGTATGCTGATTTTGATCTTCAAATCTCGTTTACGATTTTTTTTCTAACCTGCATCAATTCGTGAATTTCGAGTATTTTTGCTAAGCAAAGGAAGAAATATACAACGTTGAACGAAATGAATAACTTGGTGAGTCCTTAGAAAAAAACAATTTAATAATTATTTACAACTATGCTTTCATTTCGGATAAATTACATATCTTTATAATCGGTTATTACCATTAACTACGCAAACAAATATTCATATGCAATAGTGGGTCGATTGAATAAAGGTAGAGAGAAGGCGACATTATAATATGGGGCGGTTCTAGATTTCTTAAGGGGGGCTTGGGAGCTTTGGTGTTCTTGCATTCATTTTCTACATGTGCCTTGCTTAAAATCATTTATAATCAAGATTCTTTTGAACGGAGGCTGAAGCCTTAACCCCTTTAAGAACCTTTAATGGGTATGATCCTTTCAAATTTAGAGAAACCTTTCGTATATTGATATAAGATATATATGAAGGGGTGAAGAATATAATACAATTAGAAATGTTCAGTTAAAAAATATTTGTTTGTTTAAGATAGATGGATATATAACATATGTTGTAAGTATTGTCAATGTGTAAACCATAAAAATGAAAAATATAACACATTTCTGTTAATCAGGTGTAAATTAAAATGTCTTGTTTAAACATTTAACCATACTA